AGGATGCCATGCTGCAGATCAAACCATGTTGAGATGCTAGGGGAGGCTGGAAGGATCCTGGACTGGACCCTCCCTTTGAGTTAGGACCGCTGACCAGCCAGCTGCCACCCTTCATGAGGAGGCAGCAGAATCAGGCTCTGAGCCACTTGTGGAAGTGCCATGCCTACTGATGGCCCCACTGTGGCACTGAGCTGCTCAGCACGGGTCCCAGCCCCCTGCAGAGACACAGGAGAAGCCAGCAAGCCCTCTGGGCTAACCGAGGCCGATTTGGGCCCCTGGGAGCTGTGAGCCCTTTCAGAGGGTAGGGGCCTGGAGGTGGGGGGGGGGGGGGGCACCAGAGGTCCTCACAGATGTAGAAACTACCTTAGAGGATGTTCCCACCTCATCAGGAGGAGCCCCAGGCCCTAGCAGGGCAGCAAAGCAGGGGCTTGGCTTAGGCCTTCTCTTCCCCTTCTCAGCACCATCCTTCATGAAGAAGTGTCCCGGGAGGGTGTTTAGCCAAAGACCTTAGAGCAACATGATCTCTGTCCTCTGACATCTGGGATGATCCATGAGCAGGTACAGGGTAGAGTCAAGATCTAAGAGATCCTTGGCCTGTGGGTAGGGGCTGTTGGGAGACAGGCTGTAGCTCTACAGGAGGCTGTGCTTTGTAAAGGCAGACCTGCTGCAAGCTGGATTGATGAGACTGAGCTCCCCATAGTAGAGACCAGTGGCTGTAGAGCAGGGAAGCTGCAGGGGAATTAGGCCCTGAATGGGCAGCTACCCTGTAATAATGCCCCTCCCAGGCAGAAGAGGGAAAGGCTCTGGTGGGAATTCTACTTTAGTCTCTTTGACCTGGCCAAGCCAGGTCCCCTTAAAAGAGGAGGGACACATGACCATCCCAGAACCCCCTAGTCCCCCACCACTGACAGAGCCCAAGAGAGACCTGAGTCTTGTCTCAGCCCCTCAGACTTGCCAAGTGATCCTGGCCCAGCCTGTCCCTGTCCTGTAGCTTCACTGGCAAAATGAATTTGATAATGTCTGAACCCTCCCCAGCCCTAAACTGCTTCTCTGAGGCTGGGGCCTGGTTTCTCAGTGACAGATGCCCTTCTCTCATGGTTCTTCACCATCCCATAGGTTTGCTGAGCATCCCTGTTTACACAGCCGAAGAGAAGGACCCAGTCTTCCCTATCTTCACCTCTGTCCTATCTGGCACCCCCCATCCTCCTAGGCTCTTCCTTCTACACCTTTCGCCTCTTCATCTTGGTCGATTCCTTCCTCTTCATCCTCAAAGGGGCCCAGGTTTTCCCATCTGACACCTTCAAAGAAACAGGCAGAACCACTCTGCTCTCCCCCTCTCCTTCCCTTTGATGCCGTTGCTGATTGTTGTTACTTGTTCCTGGGATTCCCCCTCAAGTCTTACTGCAGACAGAGCCCTCTCACCTCGAGGCCCAAGGGCATGTGTTTGTCCAGCTTCCTTACAGCTAGGATTCAGTCCCAGGAGCAAAGTGCCATCAACCAGATGCACCAGCCTGTGTGGGAGTTGTGCCGGTGAAGGTAGTGGCCACTGGGACCAGAGGTAGGGTGTCAGGGGGTGGGGGGTTCTAGTGGCCAGACCAACACCAAGGGTGCCCAGTGGTGGCAACAGTGATGTCTTCAGTGGTGTTTTCAGCATGGTCTAGGATGTTTTTCCTGTCTGCTGAGCTTCCTAGTTCAATCTCAGGCACCCCTGGAGAGTCTGGGAGCTAGCTCCCCTGTGTCCTCTGAGGCAGGATTTCTCAGCAGTGGCACTATTTACATTTAAGGCCAGATAGTTCTTTGTTGTGTATATGAGGATGGCTGACCTGTGTGTGTAGGATATTTAGCAGCATTCTTAGCCTCTGCCTACCAGACGCTAGTAGCAGTCTCCAGACATTACCACATGACCCCTGGGGACAAAATCTCCTTGGTCCACAGCACTTGTCCCTCCTTATCCAAGCCCTACATCTTCCTCTGCTGTCCCCAGTCACTGCCCTCAGAGAGATGCTGTTGGAAGCTCCTTGAGATGATCCTTCCAGGCTTCTGGGCTGCTATGTTGTCCTGGTTCTCTGCCTTTAGTCTCAATCTGCTTTGTCTCTTCCTGATTCCTCTTTCCTTCCCCACCCCTTAAATGAAGAGTTTTAGCTTAGTCTCTCCTCTCAGCTCTTTTCTGCTTGGCACCTTTATCCTCTGAGACCCCAAAGCTGATGACACCTTCCCTCTTGCCACTGATAATCCTCAGTCCTTAGGTTTCAGCTTATCCAAAACCAAACTTGTAATTTCCCATCCCCAAGCCAGCCTGATCTTTGTGTCAAACCATGGGGTACATGTTCTTGCGTAATGCTGGAGGAAGTGACAAATCCTGAAAGATTGGGGGAGGAGGGAGAAGGTGACAAGGCACTGTGAGCAGAGGCCTAAAAGGGGAGGCATCAAAGGTACTCAGTGAAAAAGCATGTGCAACATTCTCTTCTATGACCTGTAGTAGTTGCCCAGTCTGTGGTAGATCTCTGGATATATGGTTGTCTAGTCCCTCCCTTTCCAGATGAAGAACCCAGGTCCTGAGGAGTGACTTGTCTAAGACTGGTCCACTCTTGAGAGCCAGTCTCTGTTCTCCCAGCCAGGGCAAGGTGCCCGCTGGGAGAGATGCTCAATTAGGTGGGATCCAGGGCCATAGGGACAATGCCAGTGTTTCGCTGGGTGCAGTGCAGCCACATTTTTTCTGCAATTTCTCCTGAGCCTTCATTTGTGCTCCCTCAGGCCACTTTGTTAGGCCCCACCGCTTCTAGGCAGATCCAATAGGGAATTGTGGGGACATCACAGAGTGGGAGGTACTGTGCCCGACCTGCTGCTCAGGTTGCCCTCTGCAGGGCGAAGCTCGGGCTTTGGGTTGGGAGACCACTGTACCAAACTGAGTTATGGTAGTCCAGAGACAGTCACCCCTCAGTGGGGGGGAGCCCTGTGAGAGGTGCAGTCCAAGGTGGCACTGCCCAACTCCATGCCTGATCCAGGGCAGGGCATCAGGGTTTAGTTTTCCTGTTTCAGGGTGAGACTGGTAGGTGTAGTCTGTGTATAAACTCTTCTGCATGTAAACAATGAAGAAACATTCTTGTCCTTTTTTCCCCCCAAAATAAGTCACTTTTTTCTTATGTTATACATGTTCATTATAAGAAGTAATTTATTTTTTTTATTTTTTTTTTTTTTTTAAATTTTTTTTTTTTCAACGTTTTTTTATTTTTGGGACAGAGAGAGACAGAGCATGAACGGGGGAGGGGCAGAGAGAGAGGGAGACACAGAATCGGAAACAGGCTCCAGGCTCTGAGCCATCAGCCCAGAGCCCGACGCGGGGCTCGAACTCACGGACCGCGAGATCGTGACCTGGCTGAAGTCGGACGCCTAACCGACTGCGCCACCCAGGCGCCCCTATAAGAAGTAATTTAAACAATACTGAAACACCAAGAAGAAAATAAAATTCACCCTAAGTCCAACCACTCCCATAATCATGACTGACAACTCAGCTGTTGGGCCTTCCAGCCTTTTGCCCTTCATGTGAGCACATAGATCCCTATTTTTTCAATTGCAGTAGCTGCTTTGTACGGGCACATACTATATGCCAGGCCTTATGCCAAGTGCTGGCTGCTGGCAACTCCTCCTGCCTCAGGGCCTTTGTCCATATCATCTGTTCCCCTGGCTACACTAGACATGATTCCTCAAAATTTTAGGTTTCATCTTAAATGTCAGAGTCCTTTAACTGACAACCTAAGTTAGGTCCTTGGTTAGTTTCATCACCCCCTTTACTCTCTATTGATTACCTGTACCTTACCTGCTTTCTATTTTTGTTTAATGTCTGTTCTCTTCACTAGACTGGAAGCTCTCAGAGGGCAGGAACTGCCTTTTTTTGCCTGTCAGAAATGTTCAATAAATGTTGTCAAGTGAATGTGCACATGATCTCTAATCTTCAAAACTGAGAGGACACTTTTCCCTGCATTTTAGAGATGACAAAATGGGAGGCTTAGAGCAGTTAGGCCAAGGTCACACTGCATAGTGGATCCATATGTCTGCCTCCACACAGGCTACTACGCGCTCTCTTCTTTACCTCAAAAGCGACAGCTCTGTTACCATACTTTTCCTTTTTAACAATATATTGTTAGAGCATTTGTCAATAAGCATTTATGCACATGACCTTTAATGATATTTCATTCCATTGTGTGGATGTAATTTATTCATCCAGTCCTTTATTGGGCTTCCCAATATTTGCCCCAGTTACGTCTCTGAACTTCTATATTTGCGCACTTTGAGCACTCATAACTTTTATTCCATAGGATAAATTCCTACTGGTCTGCACATTTGTTTACATGGAGACCGGCTGCAAGGTGGGGCAGTGGGAACTTGTGGGCGGGCTGCACGTCAGAATCCCTGCTTCACGGCCAAAACGCTCAAGCCTGGGTCACAACTTAGGAGGCCTGTGGTGGGTCTCGGGCTCTAGCATTGCTTTAAAAGTCTGCAGGAGGTTCGGAGGGACCCAGGGTGAGACCGTAGGAGTAAAGCGCTTGGTCGCGGCAGGTGCAAAGGCACAGAGGTTGTAAAATGCACTCTGCACTTGGGACAGTTCACGGCCCACGGCGAACCTCCATTTCCGCCTTTGCAAGGGGCTTGCTAGGAACGCGACTTGAAGGATCGAGACTCCTCCGGGCCCCAGTGCTGGGGGCCAGGTTTGATTCTACCCGCTCTCCTAGGCAGGCTGGGCGGGGGAGCAGCTGGGAAGATGACGTAATGTGCTCTCAGCGCACTCCGGGGGCGACCCGCAAGCGGGGGCGGAGGGTGTTAACCCTTCCACCCCCAGCCGGTGGATGGACTAGCTTGCAGAGGCAGATCCAACTGAAAATGGAGCGGCGCCTTTAAACAAGGGGAGTAAGGTTGGGCTGAGGACCCGGAGCCTTCACTTCGCATTTGCTACGAGCCCTCGCGGGGCGGGGCCTCGCTATGCAAATCTGAGCTGCTGATCGATGACGCGCCATCACCCCACGCGCCGCTTCGCGCGCTGATTGGCCACGACGAGCCTGGTCCCATTGACAACAAACAAGGGGGCGCGCGGCCTGGAGGCGGGGCCGCAGAGGGCGCGGGTTGGGGCGGGGGAATCCCGCCCCGCCCCTCCCGCGCGGCGCAAACATGGCGGCGGCTGGCACCGGCCGGTGAGGCGGTACCGGGAGGGGGCTGTTGGGTGTCATGGGCGGTGGCGGCGGCACCGCCCTCGCGTCTCCCTGAGCGGGGAGGTAGGGGGGCCTCCGCGCCGAGCCGGGCGATGGACGAGAGTGGCGAGCTGGGAGGTCTGGAGACCATGGAGACGCTCACAGAGCTGGGCGACGAGCTGACCCTGGGGGACATCGACGGTGAGTGGTAGGTGGGTGGGTGGGAGTGCGGGGGCGCGCGGGGAGGAAGGGGTTACGGCAGCGCGCGGGTGCGCGTGCGCCCACCCCCCGCAGCCCTGGCTCGCGCGGGAAGCATCGGCACGCGCGGTCGGCCCGGCGGAACCCAACCCTTCGGAGTGCTGCGGGTTTGGGTCCCCGCCCGGCTGCTCGGTTCTGCGGTGCCGCGTGTCCGGAAGCGGAGCGGGGGTCGTGGGGCCGGGGGCGCGGAGCTGGGGGCCTCGCGAGCGCCCTGCGGGAGCAGCCCGGGGAGAGCGCGCGGCCGCCGCCTCCCTCGCGCGCCTACACGCGCCGCGCCAGGTCCCGCTCTCCCGTTGCCCGCAGCTCCGCGTCGCACCTGTCACTCCCCGCCCGGCCGCGGGGGCGGCTTTGCGATTACCGAAACAGGGTCCCCAGGCTCCGCGCGCTCCTCTCTGGCCCTCCGGGGGGTGACTTGCGGCCGGGTCACTTGGCGCTCTGGGAAACTTTGGGCAGGGAGCTCCTGCGGAAGCAAGTTGCTGATGAAAGCGAGCGGTGGCGGCAGAGTATGGACGCTTCTCTCCGGGATGGAGACTCGGGCGCTCCTGCTATCGCGCTGCAGAGGGAATTGAGCAGCAAGAATTTTGAGTTGTGGCCCTTCGGGGACAGGCTGGGGAGCGGGTAGCCTTTGTTCCGGCGACCTTAACAGCGGAGTGGAAGAGCTGGTAGGAGCCCAGGGGATCCTCTCTTGCAATGCTCTCATTTTGTGACCATGGAAACCCAAAGTTTGGAGAAGGTCAGTTACTTGCCCAAGGTCTACCAGCTGGTTATAGAGCCCAGTTCCTGAGCCAGTGTCACTATAGCAGGCTTTCATCTGACACTTGGGAGTGAGGAGTCCAATGAATAGATTAATAACCATAATAATAACTCTCAGTAGTTGGGCTCTTCTGATAGTCCCCAAATTCTTTATATTATTTCACTTATGCCTCCCTACAATCCCATGGTAGACAGAGGCCAGATGTTTATTTGTACAAGGTCACTAACCTTGAATTGTCCAGAACCCATGGTCTTAAGCAGTAACTCAAGTGCATTGTGCTCATGAGTTTTTTTGTTTTTTTTTTTTAATTTTTTTTTTTAACGTTTATTTATTTGTGGGACAGAGAAGACAGAGCATGAACGGGGGAGGGGCAGAGAGAGAGGGAGACACAGAATCGGAAACAGGCTCCAGGCTCTGAGCCATCAGCCCAGAGCCTGACGCGGGGCTCGAACCCACGGACCGCGAGATCGTGACCTGGCTGAAGTCAGACGCTTAACCGACTGTGCCACCCAGGCGCCCTGTGCTCATGAGTTTTATAAAGTCCTGTCATGTCCAGGATTTCACTACAGTCTCGCATGCAGAAACGACAGCTACATCCCTGTTGTACAGATGAAGAAACTGAGGCGCAGAGAATTCTCTTCTAGGGGAAGAGATAAGTGACAGCAGTTAATTGAAAAGAATGTTTCCCATTTTGCTTCTGTAACATTTAACTCCTTGGCTTGTCCTTGCCTTCTGTTTCTGGTCATTCTGGCAGTGAGCTAAGACCCTTAATTGAAGCCCCAAGTCTTACCACAGATTTCCCTCCGAAGTGCTCCTAAATACGGAGATGTGTTAACAAATGGAGGAGAGAGGTTCTTGAACTTAAGAAGCACAGCTAACATGTTTTGAGCATGTATGTGCCAGACACTGTGTTAAGCACTCATACACATGAATGTTCTCAATCCTTAACAACAGTTTCATCAGGTAGAGACATCTGTTTTACTACTGTCATCCCCTTTCATAGATCCTGAAACAGAGGCTCAAGGTGGTTCATTAACTTACCCAAGGTTACCCAGCCAGTAAGAAGTATGCCTGAGGCTGCCTACCAGCAAGCTCACCGGAAGAAATTCATGTGCATTTTGCCTTCTCATTCCATAACCAGTTCTTGTTTCTTTTAGTTTGTAATGTGTTCACTTATCTAATGGTCAAGTATTAACCTTTTCCCCGTAGATTTCTGAGTAAAATGTACATTCTGGAAACTAGTGCAGTGGTTCAATGGCTTCACGGGTCCCCATACCAGATTTGGGAAAAAGTGACTCCCTGCCTTCAATTGGTCAACAAGTATTCAAGTGCCAGCTGTGGTTTCTGAGCTGTAGGGAACATGAAAGATAGGAAAGAAGATTTTATGGCCTCATGGAGCCTAAGAGGAATAACAGTAAAACTGTAATGCTCAGTGTAGAATAGCTTACAGTTGCTCACAGGGCAATAAGTGAAAGTCAACATTGAGGGAGCTGGTCAAGGCTGGCATAACAGGAAGACCACTCCAAGGAGGTGGACTTTGACCAGGTTTTGGAGCACAAGAAGGGTTGGGCAGGCTGAAGGCCAGTGGTCTGCAGTTACAAATATTCCTGCATTCTATGCATCCGTTCCCCCTCCAGAAGTTCAACTCCATGAGTGCCAAGTCCTTCTGTTTCCTTCATGCTGTATTTCTAGCACTTAAGAATAAGTATTTGTGGACTACCTGAATGAATCTAGTGACCTTGGGCTGGGCAGGATTCTAAGTTGTACTAGACACAGCCTTTGGGGTTGGGTTAGATCAGGGGTAACCTGCCCCGTTGTTTCCAGAGCCAGTCAGGTAAGGAAGAAGAGACCATGAGAATGAATAAAGATACTTTATGTGTGTGTTGGGGGGTGGTGTGCAGTTTGCATAGCTTGCAGCCTGGGGATTTCATGTCTGCCTCCTGGAAGACCAGTTGGGCAAGATCCTTCCCTGGGCAGCCTCATCTGTGCTGTAATCTATGAGTGCCCTTCAAAGACGTGAGTCCATGGAGGCCACATCCATTCATTTATTCAGCACCTGTCTTGAGTGGCTCCTAAGTACCCCTATGATGGACAGAGTGTTGAGGATAGCTTTGAACAAGACATCCATGTTCTCTTCCCTCTCAGTGAACTTAAATTCTTGAGGCAAGAAACACAAGAGGAACAAATCACTTAAATGAATAGCTTTGTCAGGACACGTGAAGAAAATAACACGGGCTCATGTTATACTACAGAATGACTAGGGCAGACTAATTTAGGTGAGGGAGGCCTCTTGGCAAAGGGATCTGCCATCTCTTTTTCAAGAGGTACCCAAGTCAGGATTTTTATGTGAAATGTCCACATTTTTAAATGGTGGCTCCAAGTGGTTGGTTGTTTTTTTTAAAGAAACATACTGTAGGCCCAACAAAGCATGATGTGTCAGTTGGTCTCCAGGGCCCCGTTCCACCGCAGGATGATCTGCTGTCCCAGGCCTCCGGTCCTCTGATGATAGAGTATCTAGGGCACTTTCTTTTATGGTGGATAGCCGCGTCATGAGAATGCGCCTCACGTGTTGTAATAAACCAGGTCTTCTGCAAAGGCAGAGAGGGGAGATATTTTTCCACCGGGATCAGGAAAGGCACAATGACAGAGGTGCCCTTCCCGTAAGACCCAAAAGGGTGGGTGGCAGAATCATGACCATCACATGGCTGCCTTAGAGATCAAGGATTACTAGTGAGTCCTTGGACCACACGGTGTGTATAAGGCAACGGTAGAAGATAAGGTCTGAAAGGTGTGTTGGAGCCAAACTGGGGGGTCTTCATACCTGATGCACATGTTTTGTGGAATGTGGAGAGGGACCTGCTGAGGATTTTGAACTAGGGGAATGACGCATCAATCACAGGTTTTAAGAGAATTCAACTGTGGTGATGGGCAAGGAGGAGTGGAGTCAGGGAGCCCAGTTTAGGAGGGAATTGCAGCTCTTCGGGTGTGAGGTGATAATACTAAGGGGGTGATGGGGTTTGGATAGGAAGTGGCCATTGTGCAAGATGGTGGACATAACAGGCTGGGGCCTCAGTGAAGGCCTTGCCCTGAAGGCAGAGTAGAGGTGGAATTCTATGATCCCATCAGGGCTTTGATCCTCCGGCATTGAGACAGTTCAGAAGCCAGCAGGAAGAGCTGGCTTGGGGGAGATGATAAACATTTGTCTTAAATGTGCAGTGGTTGAGGTGCTGGTGGGCAGGAGGTCATCCACTAGGAGATCAGGCCAGTTAACCAGGAAAAGGTCAAAGCTGGGGATGGCGATTGAAGAGTAGTCACTGTGGAGTTGAGGCTAGAGGTGAGAGAAGATAGAACTGGGAAGTCAGGTCAGGTGAGGAAAGTGTGATAGAAAACTGAAAGAAGGTGAACTTTTCAAGGAGTGGTTAGTGGATGCCAGGGATCATGCTGCAGAGGACAGCAGGGATGACAAGGCCATGAAAGGAGTCATGGGATTTGGCAGTTGGGAGGTCGGCCTTTGACAGAGAAGTCAGATGAAGGGGTCCAAGTCTAGATAAGCCAAAAAGAGGTCGGGAGTGAGTGGATGATGGCAAGTAGAGGCAGCTGTTTTCTTTGGAGAAGGGTCAAGAAACTTTTCAGTGAGCTGTTTTACTTTTTGTCCTTGTGGATTGGTCTGTTCTGAACACTTCACAGAAATGGAATATGTGGCCTCCTTCCCTTAGCATGGCTTTACGGTTCATCAGTGTTGCAGCAGAGTGTTCCCTTGTGTGGATACATCATGTTTTATTTGTCCATTCATCAGTTGACCAACATTTAGGCTGTTTCTACTTTTGAACTGTTATAAATGAAGCTGCTGTGAACATTTGTGGGCAGGAGTTTGTCCGGACATAGCCTTTTGTTTCTCATGTGTAGATCCTCTACTTTTTTTTTATTTAAAAAAAATTTTTTTTTGTTTTTAACATTTATTCACCTTTGAGAGACAGAGAGAGACAGAGCGTGAGCAGGGGAGGGACAGAGAGAGAGGGAGATACAGAATCAGAAGCAGGCTCCAGGCGCTGAGCTGTCAGCACAGAACCTGGCGCGGGGCTTGAACCCATGAACGGTGAGACCATGACCTGAGCCAAAGTCGGACACTTAACCGACTGAGCCACCCAGGCACCCCAATCCTCTACATTTTTTGTTGCTGTTTGTATTTTTCCTAGGCCCTGTAATAATACCGGTTATTCCCTTGCTTAACTTTCTGTGTTCTCTCAATGAATTCTGCCCTAGTTCTTGTGACAGCAACTCTCAATATGAAGTTAGCTCCTTTTACCCCCTTGTCGCTCCCTCTTTTTTGCCCCATCTGATGTTTGTCTAGCTCCGGTGTCCCGCACTTATCCTGGGATTACCTTAGTCATCACCCTGGGGAGTGATAATTGAAGCCACTGTTCCCTAGGTGGTATTTTTTCACTCATTTTGATGGAGCACATCCTCCAGCAGCTTCTTCAGAAAGAGTACATTAGAAGTAAATTTAGGGTGGGGGCGGGGGGCCTTGTCTGTCTTACAGTATCTTTGTTCTACCCTCATGTCAGTTTGATAGTTTGGATGAGTTTGGAATTTTAGGTTGGACCTAATTTTATATCAGAAGTTTGATGGGGCTCCTAGGTGACTCATCAGTTAAGCGTCTGTCTTCAGCTCGGTTCATGAGTTTGAGCCTCTCATCTGGCTCTCTGCTGTCAGCTCAGAGCCTGGAGGCTGCTTCAGATTCTGTCTCCCTCTCTCTCTGCCCCTCCCCCGCTCGCACTTGGTCAGTCTCTCTCTCCCTCTCTCTCTCTCTCTCTCTCTCTCTCTCTCTCAAAAATAAAAACATTAAAAGAAATGAAAAAAGAAAAAGGCATCGCCTGTCTTCTAGCTTCTGCTCATTGAGATCTGATACCAATTGATTCCCGATCCTTCATGTGCCAGCTGTTTTCTCCTCTGGAAGTTTTTAGGGTCTTGTCTTTATCCTGGGTGTTCTGAATTCCATGGCAATACACACTGATGTGACTGAACTGTCAGTCGCTGTCTCTACTTCGTGGGCTCTGGTGGGGGTGGGGGTGGGGCTCACTGTGTCAGATACCCGCATTCATGCGGTCCTCCTGCTGGTAGCCCACGCGGTGCCTCAGCCTGCGGAGGAACTTCCTTCCCGTTCGAAGCCTTTGGGTGGCACTGCCTTGTCCTCGGCTGTCTTCTCCCTGCGGTCAGCTCCATCTTTGAAAGAGACCCCGACACCAGCCGGCAGCAAAGGGGTACTCTGCAGAGGTGTTGTGTGAGCCCCCGGCCAGGGTGTCCGCGTCTGGTGGGGAGTTTGGAGTGGCCAACCCGGTGAGCCAGGGGTGAGTGTTGGGAGGGTGTGGCCAACACCCCACTGGGAGGTGAGGAGAGGTGTGGAAACCAAACACGATTCTCCGATTCTCCGGTGAGTCATACTTGGGGAAACTGCTCAGTGAAGTAAAGCACAGATCTACTTTTCTACCCCTGTGTATAGCTTTTTCAAGACAAACTTTGTTTTGACACTTGAGTATACATCACTGTGGTTAATGTCTGGGTTGAAAGTACAGCTGTTGCTCACAGCTTATTTATTTTCTACCCGGTTTTAGCTCCTGATCTGCTCTCATCCAGTTCCATTTCCTGGGATATAAAGTTTTCTGGGGTCGCTCGCTCGAGCCACTGAACCAGTCTCCTTGGGTTTCTCCTCCCTCCCGGGTGTGTTTGGCTTTGCCCTTGACAAACACTCTCACTCACACCCTTCGGCCTAATGTTCACTGAACAGTCTTTTCTGTTGTTCTCCTACTCAGCCCGTGTATTGGCATTTTTTAAAAATATATTTTTGTATTTGTCTCCACTGGATCTCTTCTGTCCTCCATTTCATAGTTTAAAAAGTTCTTAAAAAACTTTATTCAAAAAAGCGCGTTCTGATGATCAAATCGTCTGTCTGTATCTCCTGGATGCTGTCTGAGCTTGATTAACACGTGCACGAATTGTTACATTTTCACTGACAGGTTGCTAGATGTTGAAACAGTTGAGCTTTAATAGACGGATGATCCCGCCTAACCCCCCCACCCTTCACCCCCCACCCCCCTGCACTGGCAGGCCCTTGCATATCCATGTCCCTGCAGGACAATAAATACCATTGTCCTGAACACGACGAGCAAGTCACTCTGGAGTCAGTTCATTGGTGTGTATTTCCCAAAGAGAGCTCCGCGACACAAGGGGTGACAGCTCCTTCACCCTGCCAGCCGTAGCCCTTCTAATGTTTGAAACTCTCCAGTTGCTGTAAATTACTGTGATTACTGTGGTGATTGGGACTTAACCACTTGGAAAATATCTTTATTTTTTTGAAAAGGCAATACATTTGTGTGGCAAAATTAAAAAATGTGAGAAAGGACTGTGAAGAGTCGTGTCCCTGCCCTGCTCCGATTTGCTTAGCACCCACCAGCCCCACCTCCTCACAAGTAATTCATTCTTAAGTTTCTTTACCTTCTTCAAAACTTCCTTAATGCAAATATAAGCAGATAAGCATGGCTTTTAATATTTGCTCCCCTTTTTATCCCTACACAGGGAGCATGCTACAAGCTTTGTTCTGCACCTTGCCTTTGTTGTTGTTGTTGTTGTTTTTCACTTAACTACATATATCAGAGATCTTTCTAGTCTTCAGGGCTGCATGGTTTTCCATTGCATAGATGTACTGCTGTGCTTTCATTCATCCAGTCCTTTTCTTTTCTTTTCTTTTTTTTTTAGTTTTTTTTTTTCAACGTTTATTTATTTTTGGGACAGAGAGAGACAGAGCATGAACGGGGGAGGGGCAGAGAGAGAGGGAGACACAGAATCGGAAACAGGCTCCAGGCTCTGAGCCATCAGCCCAGAGCCCGACGCGGGGCTCGAACTCACAGACCGTGAGATTGTGACCTGGCTGAAGTCGGACGCTTAACCGACTGCGCCACCCAGGCGCCCCCATCCAGTCCTTTTCTGATGGACGTATCAGGGTCCTTCTATTCCAGTCCTACTATTAAAGACAATGCTGTGGTGACTAGCTTTGTACACTCGTCATTTTCACACACGTGTGGGTGTAAGCGCGGGAGAAAGGACCAGAAGCGGGATTGCTGGGTCAGAGTGGGGCTGGTGATGATCTCCATCACAGATGCCACAAGAGTCAAATGATGGGGAACATATAAAAGGAAGGGGCAGGAACTAACATTCTGTTCTGGCTCCACGCGTTTGTGGTTTTGAGAGACCCCGTGAAACTGCTGTCCACAGAAGATGTGCCAGTGTTTGCCCGCCACGGTGTGTAGGAGAGCGCCTGTGCCCATCAGCTTCCCGGGGGAGTCTAGACTCTGGTCCCTTTATTCCGCCTGACTTTGCCACACGGGTGCCAGTTTAGAGCTCACACCATCCCTTCTCCCTCCCCCCACAATATACAGACTCCTCCGTCCTGGCCTCCCAGTGCCTCACTTTTCTGTATTCAGGACAACTGGACAGTGAGTAGCGACCAGCTTTCTGAACGATCCCTTCCTCTGCCTCACATGTTCCCTTCGCTTGCCTGGGACGCTCGTGGTTCAGACTGGCTGACACCTCTGCCGCTTCCATCTCGTTTGCTTGCTCTCTCTACTTTTCAAATTGCCCCTTAATGTACAGCAGTTCCTTATTTTCGGCTCTCTGCTTTGGGGGACTTGAAAACTGGTTTCTTGTTTTAGGTGGTTCCATTGGGACTTTCTTCTCTGCCTGCGCTCTCTTTCATGTAGTTTCTTGGCGGCAGCCCTTGCCGCCCCCGAAATTTCAGTGCGTCCTCTCTGAAAAAATTTTGGGGGCTTTCCATCACTATAAGTGGTGTTCTGGAAGTTGCTTCCTTTCACCGTAATTCTCTTACGGCTACTTTTCACCCAAATCGGCGGGCATTTTAGGAAGTACCCTTTGTTAGGAATAGTTGTCTTCATAATACCTTCCTTTGAACCTTAAGTCATTGGCGTTCCCTAGGAGAATGTGATTCATCTTTTTCCTTATTAGTTATTGACTGTCCCTGCAGTCGCCTCTGTTTTTCCATCCGTCACCAGGTTTTGAAATCACTGTGTCTGCAGCACCAGCTGTGGGCCCAGCAGCGTCTAGTCAGACCTGCAGTTCAGACCTTTACCTAGGGCCTGTGTCGAGCTGGGCTTTGGATACCGTGCTGGCAGGGTAAGCGAGGACCCTGCCCTCACACAGTGTGTATGTATGGCCCTTTACCTGTGTTGTCTTCTAAAACATTGTTGCTTTAAAAAATTTTTTTATGTTTATTTTTGAGAGAGACACACAGAGCGTGAGCAGGGGAGGGGCAGAGAGAGAGACACACACACAGAATCTGAAGCAGGCTCCAGGCTCTGAGCTGTCAGCACAGAGTCCGATGTGGGGCTTGAACTCACGAAGTGTGCGATTATGACCTGAGCCGAAGTCGGACACTCAACCGACTGAGCCACCCAAGCACCCCAAAATGTTGTTGCTTTTAATCCTGTCTCCTGATTCCGTGGAATGTACAGATGAGAAACCGAGGCCCAGATCATACAACTCGTAAGTGGTAGAAAGGTGACTTCAGTCCAGACGGGTCTAACTCCAAACCCCATGTACTTTCCTTGTGTCTTGTGCCAGCCATATCTCTGTCTGATGTGGCTTCCAAGTTGCAAACACAAGATGGTGTGTGGTGGGCTAAGGCCAGAGAGACCCGGGATCCTCTGCTCAGGTACACACTTGGTGACATGTGTTTACCAAGAGGGGTCTGCTCTGTGCTAGCACTTCAAGTGACCTTCCTTGCGTCCTGCAGCACTTCTCTGAGGCTTCGTTTCTGCTGTATGGTGGGGACTGGGGACATCTATGCCACAGGTGCTCCAAGAATTAAGGGAGACAGAGCACATAAAGGGAAGAAGGCAGGAACTGACATTCTCCTTTGACTCTATCTGAGAATGAATAAGGAAGTTCACTTTGCAAGTTGACTTTTAGGACCAAAGGGCCTCTTTTTAGAATACGGTATTTTTTCCTTTCCTAAGGGCTTTTGTAGGTGTGGTGGGCGGGACACAAAGGACTAGTCACAGAGTGCAGGGTAAAGTGTTGCACGTCTGGACCACAGTATTCAAGGGTTACACTTGGTTGACTTGATGGAATTTTTTAAAGAGTAGCTAGATCCCAGAGCCTGGGCCACCAGGTAAGGCTCCCTGGGGAACGAACCTCTGTTTAGAAACTAATCCTAAACCATTGACTTGTTTGGAAACTGGAAAAGCAGAGCTCTTTCTGAATTCCTTAGGCCTTTGGAATTGCTAATGAATATGTGTCTAAATGTCCCTTATAATCTGGCTGCTGCATCTGGCCTGTGAAACTGGTCTGTTGGGTTCAGAGTCTGGTTTGGACCAGTGATGAAATCTCGACTGCTGAACCAGATGCAGAGCTACCTAAACTGGTGTCTGCTCAGTTCAGGCCCTCTCTATCCCACAGCAAAAGGGAAATCATGCTTCTTGCTAAGTGTGAAATTGATGGTGAAGCCTTATACTTTACAAAAGTTCTTCTGATACATTTGTCTTTCTAACAGTGCTGTGAGGTAGATGCTTCCTTTTTCTTCCCATTTTGCAGATGAGACATTGAGACCGATAAAATAATTTGCCCATGATTCCCCATGCTGATGGAGTCGGGAGTTGAATTTGGGCCTTCTAACATGGGATCCCATATACTTTTCTGCCCCATGGGAATGAGGTGGGATGTGTCCTGACTCGGGAAAGCTGTCTAGGAACCCCTTCTGGTCAGAAGTTATTTTTAAAAAATTTAATACAGTTTTTAAAACGTGTTCAAACCAGTTCAGCATGAGTGAGTATCTATTATATTCCCAGAACAGCATTAGACTCTTGGGGTATTGGAGGTGAGTGAAACAGTCCCGACTTTCAGGGAGCTGACATCTAAACAACCAGACAATACAAAGTGAAATGCAACAGAGGCCATAACAGAGAAGCAAACTCCAAGTAGTGTTTTGAGCACCGAGGAAGGGAATTAGCAGTATCTTCACAGGGACTTTGACATTTTAGCTGAGATGTGAGGGAAGAATGAACAGAACTTTACAAGGGAAAAGTGTCATGATGTTCTTTTTGACAGAGTTGGACCAAACTTGGGAGTAATTTGGCATGTTCTGGGAACATGTGATTCACTGTGGGATCAAGGTTCTCAAACTGTAACGTGTCTAAGAACCTACCAGGGTGCACCTCCTGAGATCTGAGTGTGGGAAGTCTGGGATGGTGCCCAGGAGGGACACCTAACTAGTGGAAAGGTGGATCAGAGGAATTTTCTTGTGGAGGTACCTTATAAGCTGAGGTCTTCAGGCTAGATAAAGGGGCAGGAGAGAGGAGTCATATTCTAGGCCGAGGGAACAGCCCTTTGGAAAGGCATTTGGGTGTGTGGGTGATTTACAGACTACAGTCTTGATAACTGTGTTTGTTATCTTTCTCAAACCCGGTTTTGACCCGGTCCCTCCCTCTTATGCTTCAGTGTGCTCTGTATCAGTCTGGCGGCTGGGTGGTGAGCCGCAGAAACTGCGTCTGGCTAGCCTGAACAGAAAAGGAGTTTATTGGAAGGACAGTGGTGCACGGACTGACCGGAAAGCTGCAGAGCCCGACTTGGAAAATGGGCCCGAACCAAGGGAGGCTCAGGAGCTAAGGATAGCCTTAGGGTAGCGTTAGGAGCTAAGGATAGCCCAGGGGCAACAGGGTTAAGACCCCACCGCGACAGTGATCTCTGACGGGCTGCTGCTCTCCTGGGTCACTCCAGCAAGAGTCATGCTCCTGGTGCGGGTGTGCATGAATCAGGGCTGCCTGGTGGGAAGCCTCACCTGCCACCAAGACCACTCACGGCGGTTCTCCGAAAGGAAGAGCAGGGTGCTGATGAGAGGGTTGGGTTGAATGATGGACAAACAACGAAAGTGGCCAGTGTCCACTGCATTTTCTGTGCCTCTCCTTGCTTCCAAAATAAGATCCAATGCCTTATGGTGCCCTTAAGGCCTTTTAGAACACGACTGTAAGCCGCTCCACTTCTCTACTCTGTTGCACATTCTCTGCCCTTCAGCAGCTTGCAGGGCATTTCCTGGTGGTGTGGTGGTTTTTCTCAGCCTGTTCCCTCTGTCTGCCATGACCTTCCTTCTCTCTTAACTCCTAAAACTCTTCATCCACTGCCTGCCATTATGGATCAGTCCTTCCTCTACTCGCAGACAGCCTTTCCTTTCTTTTTTCTTTTTAAGTCTTTTTTATTCTTTAAGTAGGCTCCATGCCCAACGTGGGACCTGAACTCATGATCCCGAGACCAAGAGTCAGATGCTCCACCAACTGAGCCAGCCAGGCGCCCCCTCTGACAGCCCTCTCTTTGTGAGGCGCTTGTCTGTTCTTGCTCTTGTCACAGTGGATGAGAGTTGGTTGGATTTTCCCTTTGAGATGGGAAGGTGGGGAGGGAACCACACCCCTTTGGAATCCTTGCCCTGGGCTGGGACCCATGCTAGGTGCTCAGCATCCTCCAGCCCCCAGCAACATAGCACACAGTGTCTGTGGGTGCTGGGTGGGTGTTCATAGCACAACTTCATAATCTGCTTTGCGAGTATTTGTTTTGTCCTTAGTCTCAGGGAGGGCAGTGAGTGGAAGGATGGGATGGTGGGTTGTTGGGGTCTTTCACCTTTGCCTGACTGGTTTTAGAAATGAACAAGGTTGAGATCCCCTGCTGTGGAGACTGTGCCCCCAGGAGAGTCGGGAGGGTGGTTCAGCTTGCACCTGACTTTGTTGACACTCGGTTGGTTATCTGGCACCATGAAGTGCAATGCCCTTGTCTTCTAGAACAGGACAATGCAGGATTGGTTCCTGGGAGTCTTGCTGTCCACATCTTGCTCACCTTTCAGTCTCTTGTTCCAGGAGAGTGAAAGAACAGCGGTGCAGGGCGGGAGCAGGTGAAGACAGGAAATACAGGAAGACCTGAGATGACGCTCCTGCCCTTCCCGGGTGGAGGATGTGGGCTCTCATTCATGAGCGAGGCACCTAATGAGCATCTGCCTGATGCCAGGGTCTATTTGGTGACATCCATTCAATAATGGAGCCAAAGCATCTGTACAGTGTGGTGCCTGAGACTTGACCTCAAATTACAGCTCCACTACCTGCCGACTGGGTGACGTAGGACAAGTTCCTTAACCTCTCTGTGTCTCATTTTCGTTGTCAGTGCAGTGGAGGCGATAATGGTATCTGCCTCAAAGTGTTGTGAGATTAAATGAGGAAACTATGCAAAGCACTTAACGCAATTGCTGACGCACAGTAAGAGCTTAGTAAATGTTAACAATTACTGTACTATTTTTATTATTGCTACTACTGATTGACTCAAGATTTTTCTTATTCTCAGAGTCTAGTCCTGACCTCTTTCTAAGAGCAGACGTTGCAAAGTCCTAAATGGAAAAAGAGGGACAGCCTTTCAAATGTGGGTGCCAACAATCCGATGCCTCTAACTTGCCTGAGGATTGGGAGGCCTAGGTTCGCTGGCAGGGACCCAGGGTGGGGCTTTTGCCTGGGTGGTGCGGCTGGCTGGCTTACTGACTGCAGCATTGTGAGGCCTGGGCCGTGAGGCGGGGCAACCACGATGAAGGACTTCCGGAGAGGAAGCCCCAAGGTGTGGTTGTTGGGGCAACTTCTGGTGCAGGGTGCTTGTGAAAGGAGCACAGTCTTTGGAAGAGGAAGAGGAGGAGGTTCCTACCTCACTGCCGCTCGCTTGCCCACCTGCCTAAGACTGTGTGCAAAATCACCCCCTTTTTGGACTTGGACTTGTTTCTTCCTGTGTAACCACCACCATCACTTTTCAAGAACTTATGTGTCAGGCGCTGTTCTAAGTACTTTACACGTATGGACTCTTTTTTTAAAAGAGGACTTGAAACCACCACTTCACAGGGTGATTTGAAGATATATACCACAGTATGTGTGAAAGTGCCAGCCAAGTGTTAAAAGCAAAAACAACTGGGAGACAGTGCTAATGAGGTTCTCTTCTAGTAAAAAACAAAAACAAAACCAAAAAACATATTTAAACTTTGTGTATAAATATATACTCACACACAAACAGGTAAATAGCAGTAAAAATCAACGACAACAAAGGCTTTTTAAGCAACATGCTATCTATACAGGTTCTTCTTGCATTGTGCACCTCTTTATCTTAACACTTGGTGCCTGGCCCCGGCAGATGTTTGCCCAGGGTTTCGCCATCAGAACGTGTGCCTCTTTTGAAGCGTTTAGTTTTGTGTCTGGCGCATAGCAAACTCAGTTAATGTTTCTTGAATGCTTGTCTTAAAGGATGTGTCTTTACTGATTTAAAAAGACTGTTCTAGAACGAGCATCTTGTCAAGGCAGAAAGTCTCATTTGGAGAATAATTTAATCATTTGGGTAGGAAGGTGTGCTCACAAACAAACAGCCAGGCAAAAATCTCTCTCCCCTGTTCCCTCAGTGAGTCAGTTACATGCATGCTTACCCTGAGATTAACCTTCCATTAGCTTTGAACTTAATATTGGAAGTAATGAGATGGATTACATAAGCACCCCCCTCGACACCCCTTCCCCCAAATTCTCCTTACTTTATTGTCACTCCAGGTCTCTCTTGCATCTTTCTCCCAAGTGGTGATGAGCATAACTGTAAAATCTAAGAAATGTTTGTTTTGTAGAGGAAAATAGCATAGAGGAGAAGTTCAGACCTAAATACAATCTCAGTTCAAATCTTGGTTCAGCCACTTCGTAGTTTAGGGGGGGGGGGGGGGAGCTTGGGCAAGTTATTTAATTTATTTGAACCTTATTTTCCACACTTATTAATAATACTGGTCTCAGGGTTTATATAAAGTACTAAGTATCGGTGTGATAGCTATTACTGTGTTGTCCACACAGAATCAATATGAAATGAATTTGATTTTAGTCATAACCACCTCTGTAATTTTAAATAAAATGTAAATGTGATTTCCAGTTAGAAAATAAGTTTATTAGTTTTGTTGCAGAGTTATTTTTGCTTTTAAACATCAATAGCATGACCACTGACTTTTTTTCAGGGGTTAAATTAGAATCTAACCTGGAGATGACACCCTTTAGTGTTTGTTGTGTTAAAAAAAAAAACAATAACAACAACAACAACAAAAACAGGTGTCTGGTTGGCTCAGTTGATTAAACGTCCAGCTCTTGATTTTGGTTCAGGTCATGATCTCATGTTGTGGGATCAAGCCCAATGTTGGGCTCTGTGCTGGGTGAGGAGACTGCTTGGAATTCTCTTTCTCTCTCTCTCTCTCTCTCTCTCTCTCTCTCCACCCCACCCCCCCCCCGTCTCTCTCCCCTCACCCTGTCCTCCCTCTGCCCCTTGTTCACTCATTCTCTCTCTCTCAGAAAAAAAAAAATATATATATTATTATTTAAAAATTTAAAAAACAACACTGAAAGAATCAAATATATTTTTATGTTCTAGGTGTATGAACAGGAGTATATATGGACAGGAAAATAAATGCAAAATGTGTATATATCAGAGTTTGGATTATTCCCATACTTACAAGAAAATTAGCCTCAGGGAGATTTTTTTTCTAAAGGCAGCACAGCAATTACGTTCACAGATTCATGGTTCGGTTTTGCTAATAGATAGCCAGGTCTTCTTCAGCCAGCACTCTTTGAACTTCTACTTGGGAATCCCTTTTTGGTTTGGCCTTCCAGTTAGTTCTTGGGTTAGCTTTTTTTTGATATTCTGCTTTTCTCCCTTAATATGATTCTTTGCCACACTTCCTTCACACAGTCTCCAGGAGGTGGCCTGTTTCCCAATGTAGACCACCTTTTAGAACCTCATGTATAACCAGACCTTTTCTTTAATCGGTTTTCAGAAGATTCTCTTCATCAGTTGATGAAGTTATCCAAGTTTCTGTTTCAGCTATGCTGATACCCTCTCAAGTCGGAATTCGGCCCTGAGTCTGTGCTCAGAATGATCCTTAATGCGCTCACAACGTTAGGGGGTTCTGGGGAAGCCAGCAGCCCCCTTGTACAAACCAGCATGAGCAGCCGCTGAGCCAGAGGGATTTCTCTTCCTAGAGCATTGTTGGATGACTCACTGTTCCTTCTTTAATAAAGAGAAGGACCAAGTTCATCACCATGAGCTATAGAGTAACCTGTCACGATTTGATCCTGACTCCTGCCCAGCCCGGTGCCCTGGCAGTTGTCCATTCTCTTCAGCAGCCCACTGTGCCAGCTCTGTGCCTCCAAGCCTTGGTTTCTGAAATTCCCTGGGCCTAGAATTCCCTTTGTGTGCCCAGCAGCCTTCAGTCCAGTTCCCACAAGAGGCCGTTCCGCCTGCACCTTCCCTGTGTTCTCCTTGCTGCTGTGATTGTGAATTTTTTATCATCTCTCTAGGCCAGCACACAGTGGGTGCTCCACACGGTTTAATCCTTTCGCATTTACATACCCACTTCACCAAAAGTAGAAGCTTTGCAGAAATGGCAGATTTGTCCAGATTTCCCAGGATAACCTGAATTTCAGAAATATCTTGTCCCATTGTGAGGTGACATGTCCCTTCCAGTTTTGGTTCAGAAAGCATAAATGCCATTTTTACAGATTGCGTGAAAGTTGCTTTGGGGAGAATTTCAGTGAATTGATGCCAGTGTTTTTAACTGCCAGAATGGTTAGTACTTGGAGAAGTTTAGGGGAGTGGAAGATTTTGTCCCTGTGCTTGTGAGGCATAATCTATAAGAAAAGCATTAAAAAATATACGTTCCTGTATGTAATGTGGCAAGAAAATTTTTTGAATATTAAAAACGTACTCTTAGCTAACATATCAGCACATATCAGAGATTTGTTAACATCATCAATGAGAAAACCATCAGGATGACAAAGCTGGATCAAAAGAGAATGTAAGAAACTGATATTTACATAGTTTTTACAAAAAAAGGATGCAGGAATAAGATTGCAAGTTTAGATGCAGAACTGGTTAACGTCCTACAGGGCAATACAAACAAAGTTTATCTTTTTTACCAGAGAGAAATCATTCGCAATCTAACAATTTTCTACAAGTGAACATCTAACTTTACCTAATCTGTGATAAATAGCAGGTCAAAACAAGTTTGTTTTGGGGTGCCTGGGTGGCTCAGTCGGTTGAGCGACTGACTTCGGCTCAGGTCATGATCTCACGGTTTTCAGAGTTCGAGCCCCACATCGGGCTCTGTGCTGACGGCTCAGAGCCTGGAGCCTGCTTCTGATTCTGTGTCTCCCTCTCTCTCTGCCCCTCCCCCTCATGCTCTGTCTCTCTGTCTCAGAAATAAATATTAAATAAAAAAAAAACAAGTTTGTTTCCACAGAGCATCAGATGACCTTTAGTAGGCACGGTAAGTACTATTACCTGTACTATGACTTTAAAGGGACACAGTATGATATATATATATCCACACACACACACACACTGCTTTGTTTTCAAGTTTTGGATAATTTTTCTTAAATCATGATTGGGTTCAAGAGCTCAAAGATGGCTGGGTCTGAGGTAGAGAAGAGTCCTTGTTGAAAGTCATTTAAGTGGTTTTGAAATGGAATTATGGAATTCAGAAAGGAAGAGGGTGGTAAGGAGCAGAAAAGGTGTGCTATGGCAGTCACATTCAGGAAAGATCTCCTCCCCAACTCCCCTCCCCCCACAAAGGCATGTACGGATAAAAGGAGGGGGTATTTTTCCCCCAGGTGGATGATGAGCAAAGGTGAGTGGGAAGTGAAATTCCTAGGAGTAGGAGGGAGCAATTGGCAGGAAGTTTTGAAACTTGTGTTTAAGAGATTTGATTTGATTTGAAAGACTGTTGGACCAACAAGATACTCACAGAAGACACTTGTCACTGGGTAGGAGGCTGTGGTTGAAATCAAGGCAGAGTATGGAAGTGAAGCAAAGAGATAACCGTGATACCATGAAAAGAGGCTTGCCAGGAGTTCATAGTAAACTTAGGGCAGAGGGAAGAAGAAGAAAGAACAGTTGAAGGGGGTGCTGAAGATCACTCTCCTGGTTGAAACTGAGAGCTGGCTCGGGTCTCCTGCTGTGTTGGACCAGAGAGTTCAGGACTGGCCAGCTGGGACTTTTTGAGGCTGCCCCTAACATCCAGCTAGGCAGATAGGAAGAGAGAGATATAGGGAGAGGAGACCAGAAGACCATTTGAGAATGACTTTGGCTTCCCTTTGTGCTTTCTTTTTCTCTTAATTTTCAGATGTTTTATTTTATTATGTAATATTTGATATATGCAGTGACACGTTTCTGTGTTATGAAACACAGGCATTTGAGAACCCCCACCTCCCTGCCCAATTTTCTTTTGTGGTTTCTTTGCCAGTAAAAAGAGTTTACTCATCCCTCGCTTAAAATATAGGATGCCTGAGTCACTAGTTTGCCATCCTGTGTCATTCAGCCCTCCTCCAGACTCCCTGTCCCCCAGGAAGGTGACCCAGAATCCCCTTGAAGTGCATGATGCTGTCCCTGTGCTCTGAGTGTTTTAGCAAATGTGCCCCCTGGTGTTTGAAGTGATTTTAGGCACCCGGTTGCCTGTGATGAGTGTCCCTATGTTCCTTATATTCTTGCATTTCAGGGTTTCTGCGTTGATGGGTTTAGTCAACAGCCCAGTTCTTGAACTGCTCTCCTGGGTGACCTGAATGGGGGTAACTAATGTTTCAGGTCCCGAGAACGCAGTGGTGATCACAGATAGCAAAATGGAGGAAGGAAAAGTTACCTATTGACCCTCAGGTGTGATACTGGTTTGATTTTTTTTTTTGATCCTAGGAGGGAAGATAAGATCTTCAGCTTGAAAGCAGGATACTTGTTTCTTAAGCGCACTTGTTTTTATTTATTTATTTATTTTTAAAAAAATTTTTTTCAACGTTTTTATTTATTTTTGGGACAGAGAGAGACAGAGCATGAACGGGGGAGGGGCAGAGAGAGAGGGAGACACAGAATCGGAAACAGGCTCCAGGCTCTGAGCCATCAGCCCAGAGCCCGACGCGGGGCTCGAACTCACGGACCGTGAGATCGTGACCTGGCTGAAGTCGGACGCTTAACCGACTGCGCCACCCAGGCGCCCCAAGCGCACTTGTTGTGAATTAACTTTTGTGATTACCTCCCTCTCGCTCACCGGTTGTGGTCCATCTGATTCCCATCAGCCTGCAAACATCATACACCATACTTATTTCTGTGTTCTTATGCCTGTTGGCTAGATCCAGTGTGAAAGATTAAATGAACAACACGTGAA